GGATCCTGCGTGGAATCTTTCGAGAGTTCTGACGCACCAAGTAACGCGAGCCGCTTTTTGCTCTTCACAGAGTGAATGCGGTATCCATCGGGAAAACAACTTTTTTACACCTAATTGTTCATGCAAAATTATTTGTATTTGACTCATGCCAATGTCTAAAGTTGCCTGAATTTCGCGGTATGTCACATGTCGATCTTCTTCAATCAGCTTACGCACAGCATCAACGTTTTCTTGGGTGACTGCAGTTTTTGGACGACCTTGACGGGGATCATCACTAAGCTGACGGTTCGCTGGTTTGCTGAATTTTAACGTGACTTGTCAAGACGCGTCCACGTTAAAATTCAGCAAACCAGCAATAAATTGTGGTTTTGGATGGGGCTTCATCACCAAATGCAGAAATCATCCGGCCAACACTGTTTTTGTATTAAACCACTTCGAAAGTCGTAATAAATCATCGCTCTTGAATTTTCTGGAGTCAATTCCATTTTCTCAACGACTAAACAAGTTTGACAAAACCTTGTGACAAGACCGAGAATCTTTTTTTGAATAAATAAATGGTATTCGATTTTTAAAAGCAAGGAGTTCTCAATTAAAAAGATTTTAATATGACAGGAACAGTGGAAATATTCCATTTCCGATACTTTTAGTGCAGAGTAGTAAAGATCTCTAAATCGTATTGTATCATTTTCCCACTGTAGTCTTTTAGTACACCCACAAGAAGAAATGGGGTCGCACAGTTTTAGTCTAGTAGGAAGCAGCACTGCTTATCCCCCAAAGTAATACCACAAAGCATGGTCCTGAGCCACCTGCATCCATCGACTTCCTGCATATCTTACCAGGTCATCACTCTATCTAGTGGGGGGTCGCCCTACACTACGCCTACCGGTACGAGGCTGCCACTCGAGAACCTTTCTTCCCCATCGGTTATCGGTTCTTCGAGCTATATGGCCGGCCCATTGCCACTTCAGCTTACTAATCCGTTGGGCTATGTCGGTCACTCTGGTTTTAATGCGGATATCCTCATTTCTGAGTCTATCACGCAGAAAAACTCCGAGCATAGCCCTCTCCATAGCTCGCTGAGGACCTTGAGCGTCCCCATACGGCCAGCAGTGAAGAACCACGTCTCAGACCCGTAAGTCATCACTGGCAACACGCACTGGTTGTACAATCTAGTTTTTAGATATTGAGGTATACCTGACGAGAAGATATGTCGTAATTTTCCGAACGCTGCCCAGCCAAGTTGAATACATCGATTGACCTCTCGGTCAAAGTTGGACTTACCTAGTCGGACTACTTGTCCACGGGATAATGATTTCTTATACATTTAAATAAAACTAGTTTTTACGGATTTTATCACTTTTTTATATTCCCGAAGTTTCGAGCATTTTATAGCACCCATGGCCATGCCCCCCCCCCCCCCCCGTTACCTTTGGTGCTGTAACGTACTCAAAACGTCGGGAATATAAAAAAGTTTATATACGCGATGAAATCCGTGAATTAGTAGTTTTATATATAAATACTCAACGGAATTCGAATTCTATGGGTCCACAGCGCCAGAATTCAATGCACTAAATTGCGTCTTTAGAGCCGTTTCATCTTCGTCCTTAGTGGTGACAATTTCTGGCCTTCTTTTTTTAAAGTTAATTGCAGGTGTCAGAATACCAGTTAGTTTGGTTTTTATTAAAATTTTATAAAATATTAAAAAAAAACTTATCTCGAAACTTCTTAAACGAGCGTCTTAACGCCCGAGAATAGACTCTTTTACTTGCATAAGATTTAAATGAATACTTACCATCTTATGTACTTTCCTTGAGGTTAGTTAGTTGAAGCTTCGTTAGCTCACGGAATCGCTACTTCGAAGTGCTAGTGAAGTGCATACTGAAAATTTTTCTTCGTTGTTAATTAAAATTTTTACAGCAAACTGCCTGAATTTTTATAGTTATCTTACACGTTACGCGTTATCTGTTTGTTTTAATTAATACTAACCAATATTAGGTCTATGATCAGCACTGGAGTTTTATGGGCTGTAATTGATGGATGAATAGAATGTATATTTAACCATTGGTTAAAACAGTTATTCAAATAAATAATTGAAAAATCGTTTTGAAGTTTTTACAAAAGGTATTCATATAGTAAAAGTATATTTTGTATTTTTTTATTTTTGTAAGCGAACAATTTAGGAATATCTTTTTTATTCCAGGTTTTTTTCTTAGACGGGCTCATTGAATACATTTGTATACACCGATGACTCTGATTTACATATTCTAATACTGCATTAAAACTACTTAACATATTCTTTTATAGTTACATTATATTTTTTCTCTATATACTAAACATTAACATTATTTTTTTGTTTCTTGCCTTTTTTTAGGGTTCCGTAGTCAACTAGGAACCCTTATAGTTTCGCCATGTCTGTCTGTCCGTCTGTCCGTCCTCGCTTAATCTCTGTGACCGTTAGCACTAGAAAGCTGAAATTTGGTACCGATATGTGTATCAATCACGCCGACAAAGTGGTAAAATAAAAATTGGAAAAAAAATGTTTTATTCGGGTAGCCCCCCCTATATGTAAAGTGGGAAGTGATTTTTTTTTAATTTCAACCCTTACGTGTGATATATTGTTGGAAAGGTATTTAAAAATGAATAGGGGTTTACTAAAATCATTTTTTGATAATGTCAATAATTTCAGAAATAATCGCTCCAAAAGTAAAAAACAATGTGTCCCCCCCCCCTCTAACTTTTGAACCAAAGGTTTAGAAAATATGAAAAAAATCTGAAATGTAGAACTTTATAAGTACTTTCTAGGAAAATTATTTTGAACCTGGATGGAAACGGTTTTTGTACAAAAAAGACAAAAAGTTGTACAAAATAATTTCTGGACTAAGTTTGTAGTATAATCGTTTAAGCAGGCATTTTTTTAACTTCGTTTACATATTTTATTATCCTGAACGTATCTTTTTTCAAACAAAAAAAAGAATTATTAAAAAATTATCTAAAATTACCACCGAAAACTTCTGGCACGTCTACGTATTAATTAGTAACCCAATTCCCCGAGAGATGGCGCTGTAGGTACTTATTACATTGGGTCGGGTATTATCGAATTGTTCGGTTGGTCTCTCCTTGGCATCGCCTGTCGCGGAGCGTGCAATGTTGCACGCTCCATGTTCGCGCACGTACCCACTACCGGGAGCAGTTGCAGGAGCGCGGAGCGCTGCTGGAGCGCGAACATAATGGATACCCACCTTTAAACTCATAAGTGGGTACACTTATTGTGACAGACGGGAAACTACGGAACCCTACACTGAGCGTGGCCCGACACGCTCTTGGCCGGTTTTTTAAGTAGCGTATACACCACATATGTAGTCTTACAAAATTTTCTTATTCTATATTCCTATATTACCTTATTTGTACATATTTCCTAAGGCCTTCCCTAAGATTCCTAAGGATTTGTTAAATCGAGGAATATATATATATATATATATACATACATACGAATATATGAATGATATTTCACTAATAATAGAAACATTTTTTTTAGATTTTTAATTCTTTCCTATCATTCGACCCGAGATCTAATCTGTGTAATGCTTTTAAGGCGATGCAACTTGTATACTTTATTATACATAATTTTCCCCAAGCACTAAAGACGTGAAGTTCATTGATGTACGTGCTTAGGATTCTGCATTGCAACTGCTAGATTTCTGTCTTTTATATGATTTCAGAACAAATTTAGATATGATTTAATCTGAATTAATAACTAGTGGTCGTACAGTCGTCAAATTCAACCGTAATTCATTTTTTTTAATGTATATGTAAAGCAAGTTTTTTTTAAATTTTTTAAATAAAAAAATACTATCAATGCTATTAACATTTTTATTATTCCTCTTAACCACTCCTGGTAAGCTTAAAATGCTTGTGTTACGAGTGGTTCATGATAGTGTCGAATGACGGATGACGGAATGACGACCTTTTGAGCTGGTGGTCCACACCCTGCCATTAGGCTACTATCGCGTGAAGTTGTATTTCACTTTCAACTCTCAGATTTTTACACACAGATAATTAATATACAAACCTTCAAGAAAAAAGCTTATTCGGCCAGCAACGCATGTGCAATTCCCCTGGTCTTGCGGTTGTTCGTGGACGGCGGTGAGCCGCATGCTCGATTGCCCATTCTTCAACAAAAAAAATTTACCGTGACATACAGACTATAGAAAAATGAACACATGAAATCACACATAATTCGTAACTCATTCAATCTGTCAGTCAATTTGGTGACAATCTCTACTCTGTGTCATTTACTACTCTGTTTGGCCGTAGACTATTATGTGTTTGATAATTGATATTGGCAGTATGAACGTAAACAATAAATGATTTACTTTATTCTATTTAATGTATTTGTAACACATATTATATATGAATAAATTTTAGCTTTCTACACTTCTTATTCTTAACTATGCCAAATCTACCTTAGAAACCTTTACCTACGTGGATTTTGTGTGTATTGTTGCCAACCCGCTTGCCAAGCATGGCAACTATTATGGTAATATCCCCCACCACTGAGTAAAACTATAGGGAAGGCTCATGTTTAGCAGTGGCGTAGTAATGGTCCGTGGAGTATTTTTATTTTAATAATATAAGTGTGACAAACGACCACACGTGCACCTGATGGTAAGCGGGTGGCTTATAGACATCTACATCTATTCTCGAGTGTAGTTCAAAGTAACAAATCAGCTAGCATTCTAACTGATGGTTAGTGAACAATGCAACTCACGGGCCAGACAAACACAGAATGCCTCAGATGCATTGTCACTTAGAGGACTAAATAAGAAAGCTTTCGGTAATTACTTAAGCTAGTAGTTACTAAGCAATTATACTACTTTTCAAACCGGAACGCAATAGAGGAAAGTTTCTGTCATATAGGAGAAAACTTTTACTTTGTCTTAGAGTTGTAGTATAATTAAACGTAGTATAATTAAACAGCATTTTACTTTGCAGGCTACAAGATGTCGCTAGCTGTATGCAGGGACCGATTAACAGGCTCCGATGCACCGGAGCAACTTTGCGACGGCTCTAGCAAACCTACAGCATCCGTAATCAGATGTAACACACATCCTTGTCCTTTCAAGTAAGTAAACATAAACAACCTTTTTATTTAAATTTCTCTTCGACTGAAATTAACTTTAGTTTTTTTTAATTAAATTCGCAAAGACTCCTAACACTTATAACTTCCGACTTTTATTTTTCTTTTGTAATGAACTCGTAATACTATACTTTTGCCAGTGTCAAGTAATAAGAAATTATACATTGTAATGTGTGTCATTTGTTTGAAAAACTTCTTAACAACATGTTGATATGACACTTTGTGAGATTTTGATAGTAGCTTGACCAGCAGAGTATCGTATGCGACTGTATCTAAGTAGACACATTATATTGAGGTTCACATTACTTTTCATTTCATTTGTTTTTTTTTCACTTTTCATTTGTCACTTGAACCACTTGTTTCATCCTTATCACTAATATTTTATTTGTGCGGATACTTTAAAAATTGCACCAATTTTATGTATCAAAATCCACTTCATACCATTATTTAAACAATAAATAATACAGGAACCGCCATCCGGACTTCGGAAGTTAAAAAAAACATAAGTAAAATAAGTTGAAATGAAAATTAAACACGATAAAATTATTATCGTGTTTAATATGGATTCCATAGATTGCCTCATAAATTTCCCCACAATTATCGCTTTTGACGAGCAGGTTGGCAACTATAGTTTTTACTATTTTCAGTTTTTGTTGGGAAAATATTGCTGTCCGCCTCCTGTTGTGATTTTCCTCTGTCACCTCTTACGACACCCACGAGATTTTATGTGGTATCGGATATTCTTACATAGTAAATTCCGGCATTAGCCTTTATAGGTAGGTATATGAAAAAAAAGTAAACGGATCTAATACAATCATCACCAGTACGCCTGCCGAACGTTGCGATAATGGCAAATTTTCTAATTTACTGCTAAAAATTAAAAACTCCTAATTTTCATCGTAATGTATTTTAAATTATCAATTGAATCAATTCAGCGCACTTTATATATATAAAGATTGACAAATGGGCACACAATCCGCCTGATGGTAAGTGGATGTTGTCCACTGAAGCCTATATTACATTTACATTGTCACCCCTGAAGACTAAGATGGAATGCCTCGTTTCCAGTCAAAAGAATTTTCGGTTCTCTACAATCACCATACAAAACACAACACCATTGTGCTGCTATTTTACGTTGGTATTCTGTGAGAGCGTAGTCCTACCCCGTTCAAACCAACTCATTCGTGCACTACCATAATATAGCTGCAATATAGTGGCTCTATCACGTATAAAACTACGTATTTTTTAATTTAGGTAATAAATCTTGGTCTGCAAACTTGAGTTTCATGAAACGAGTCTATGTTTAATGATAAAGTTTAAGCTTTAACATATTTTACAACCTTCTTATCCCGTGTAGAGTAATAGAAATTAAACAATATTTTTTTCTTAGGTGGTATGTAGGAGAATGGTCGTCATGCAGCGTCACGTGTGGCGGAGGTGTTCGTACACGAAGAGTTATCTGTGCAAGATCAGCGAACGTCACAAGAGCTGATACTTACGAACCTGGTAAGTTTGTATACATATTTAGTAAACACACCATTTACGTATAAAAATGAAGTTACATGTTGCATAAGTCCACTGAATAAGCCTGTCTTCTTTCCAAGGGGGTAGTGGAGTAGTTGCGTAATGGCGGATTTCAAATATTATCGAAGTATCTTGTTCCTCAGACATATAAGATTCCTCAGGCTTTTATTTTTTACTCTAGTTAAGACAATTTTTTAAAAATAGAATAAGGGTGACAACGTGCACTCAGTCCACCTGATGGTAAGTTAATGCAGTGGCCTATAGACTTCTACATTTATCCTGGATTAAGAATCAAAATGCAGATGCGTTGTCACCCCTGAGGACTAAGATGGAATGCCTCGTTTCCAGTAAAAAGAGTTTCCAGATCTTTACACTCACCTTACAAAATATAGCGTTGCTATTTTGCGCTGGTATTCCGTGGGAGCGTGGTCCTTCCCCGGTCGAGCCTTGCTCGTGGCTCTTTTTTTATATTTTTTAAAAACGTTACCCCCATACTAGGATTTTATCCTGTATCGTGGAGGCAGTTAACAAACATAAATTGTACAAGGACAAGCATCTAGACCCGGAACAACTATTTGTAGGCCATACAAATACTTGTTCCGTGCGGGATACGAACCCGCGGCCCCCGTCGCAGCTACTCATTGTTAAGCCACTGCGCCACGGAGCCGTACCACGTATCTTGTTCCATATAAGACATATAAGATTCCTGAGGCTTGCATTCTTCACACTAGTTAAACCTAATGTAGAATTTGCTTGCCTTAAAGGAAAATAAAATACCTGTATTTTTACATTTTAATTAAAATAGTTAAACCAACCAATTTAGCGGTATAACGTGCTATGTAACTTCACCAGCTAACGAGATTTAATACAACTACGCTTAATTAAATGTCAACACTTCTACCTCCTGGGGTTTATGATGGCTGTGTTGTAATACACACGTTTTAATAACTTCATTTGTAAACATTTTCTAATGTGTGACTTGAATCACCTCTACGCGTTCGCTCACATCACGAGCCGGGTCTCAGTGCATATGCGTGCATATAATACTTGCGTATATTACACTTGGAGTCAGACCGCATCGCAAGGCAATGATCTAGGTAGTATTCTATTCTTTTTTATGAATAAGGAGGCAAACGTGCATTCCTGTGATGACCGTCGCCTATGAACAATTGCAATAGCAGGGGAATTGTAGATGTGTTGTCGGCCTTTTAGAAAGGAGTACGTTCTTTTCTTCACTGTATTCAACACTCGTGTCGCCATGCCTCAGTGCAATATAATACTTGAGTCAACAAACGTTTACAATCGGACTGCATCGCAAGGCCATGATCGAGACGGTTATCAGTTTTTTTAAGGAAGATAAAGCATACGAGCATACAGCTCACCTATTGGATTGATCACCGTCGCCTATGATCATCCGCTACACCAGGGCTCTTTCCTAAAACGTTTTCATCACTCGTGCCAATACCTGTACCAGGGGGAATATATAAAATATGATTATGTAATAAAGAGGTATTGAATAACAGTATATTGACATTCATACGTACGTATCGTCACACCTGTAATCCCCGTTTAGGAAGACGGACGGCCTGTAACCCCCGAGGAGAAGCGAGTTATATGGACCAAGAAGGATATGGTGAAAGAAGTTATACGTAGCTGGCTCATCTTATGGTGGATCTACGCTAGAGGAGCCGAGCACAACTTTGTGTATTGTAGACCGAATTACCAGCTTCGAACAAGCGGCGCTTTGACCGTTTGGTTCGTGCTCGACTGTGCTCCGTCTATTGTCGGTTTTTTGACGAACACAAAGGGATTTGATCCCGCTCGCAGTGAAATTGTAGTAGGCTCGTTGTACGTCCACACTTGACACCGTGAGTAGAGCGGCTCAACTTGTGTTCACCTCGTGCTCAATAACTCTAGCGTAGACGCACCTTTATACAATCACAAACCTAAATAACCTATTGGTCGCCTTTTAGGACATTCTAGGCATGTAATACAGTAAAAACATTCTATTTTGTTATAACTGCCACTTAAACATTGTAACTTTACGTCCCAGGACAACATGGGATATTAATCAATGGTGTGGTAGCGTTTTCTTTATAGAATTCAGGGCTGAAGGTACATAACTGCTATAGCGCATAAAGACTAGGATCTTCTATCCTTGATTAAAAATACAAATACTTATACGTTGTCACCCCTGAGGTCAAAGGTGGAATGCCTCGCCAAAAAAAACTTTTGTACATGCTAGAGCCATGCTGCAGTTATATTATTAGTATAGTTTTAGCACCAATGGGTCGCCTCGACCGGGGAAGGACCACGCTCTCACAGAATAACAGCGTTAAATAGCTAAGCTTAGCTTAATGCTGCTGTGTTTCGTTTGGTGAGTGTAGGGAACCGGATACCCTTTTTACAGGAAATGAGGCATTCCATCTTGGTCCTCACAGGTGACAACACATTCTGCATTTTGATTCATAATCGAGTATAGATTTAATTGTCTATGGGCCACAGCAACCACTTACCATCAGGTGGACTGTGCGCTTGATTGTTACCCTTATCCTATAAAAATAACACTAACCATATAAATTTCCCAGCACTGCTTTATGCTGCTACTTCACGCTGATATTTTGTGCAAGCGTGGTCTTTTCCCGTTGGACTCTACCCATCTGTACTGTATCCGTAATACTCTGTAAAACGGCTTTACCACATATAGAGTATCAATTGCCCAATTTCAATGTCTGGTTGTATTAAGAGACGACTATGGAAAATTCTAGACACATCTTGTGGCTTCCGATCGATGGTGACGCCGGTGTTACTTACTGATGCATATTAATGATCTGCTTATTCGGGCTAGTCGGGATCAAACCCAGTCCGAAGAAGAAGTTATGGTAAAACGTATGAATCTCACACTACAGGAAGTCTCCAAATAGGGCGATGCCAATCTTGTAAAATTCAACGCCTCCAAAACACAAGCGTGTCTCTTCACTGCACAGAGGAGCCAGCTCATCTTGGCTCCTTTCTTTCCGAAATGTATCACTGGAACACACCGACCACCTTCAGTTGTTGTGGTTTGAGATATCCCCAAACTTAAACTTAGAGCCGTTCATTGAGTCGAAGACCTAAGCAGCTGCAAGGGGCTTCCTTGGAGGAGGCATTGCAAATGTGCGATGATACTTCACGCCGAGACAGCTGCTTACTTTATATAAAGCGCAAGTCTGGTCGTACATGGAGTATTGCTGTCATATATGGGCTGGTGCTGCAAAATGTTACCTAGCAGTTTGGAATTAATGGAAAGGCGTCCTAAGAGGCTTATTAGTGACCCCAATTTGGTTAAAACCCATCTTAAGAGCCTCGAACACAGGCACAAAGTAGCCAGGATGTTGACGTTTCTACAGGATGTATTTCCGAGAGTGTGCGCAGGAATTGCATAATTTGATTCCTCCCTCTCCCTTCTACCGTCGGACAAACGAGATGTTTGAAAATTATCCACCCTTTCGTTGTTTACTTACCTCACATTTGAACCATGCGGTTTGTTATATCGTTCATCTTGCGTACAGCAAAGGAGTGGAATAAGTTGCCAGCATCTGTGTTCCCATCCAATTACAATGTGGGTTTCTTCAATGCAAGAGTGAATAGGCTTTTTTTAAGTCAGTGCAATACACCATCTCAGGCTACATCACCACTTACCATCAGGTGGGATTGTAGTTAAGCGTCGGCTTAGAATAATATAAAAGATGGTGGTATCTGGTGACGAGTAACAGCGTTAAAGACGCGAAACTTTTTATAATTAATCGCCAATCCGCCAGGCAAGTGGCAGACGCTCATACCCAGTAGTGATTTACACAAGGGTTGGTAAAAAATTCTATGAGGATATCCACAGTAACCGACGTAGCCCAATGGATCGGTAAGCTGAAGTGGCAATGGATCATCCAGATAGCTCGAAGAACTGGCAACCGATGGGCAAGGAAGGTTCTCGAGTACCAGCCTCGTACCGGTAAGCAAAGTGTTGGGCGGCCCTCCATTGAAAGGAGTGACGTCCTGGTGTTCGATACAGGAAGTCGTTGGATGCAGTTATCACACGAACATTCTTTCCAGGAGGCCTATGTTCAGAAAAGAATACCTGCGGAGTTTCTTTTACTATTTCTTCTCCGTACAGAGTGCATCATGAAACAGTGTCAGTAAGGTACGTGAGGGTAATATGGTCACAGCTTTGCAGCCCTATAAAACTTAAGCTAGGATGAGGACAGATACAAAAATACTAAGTCGTATAATATCAGCAATATATTGAGAAAATAATAATATATACAAGCTTTAGCAATTTCATATTAAAATCAACTATAATATTTAATATAATGTCGACTGTTAAAATTTTGTCGATAAAGCAGCGCCCTTTATTATTTGATTGACCGATGAAGAGCTATCGTATCACAAAGCCATCTATGCAAACAAGGCTGTAGTTTATGAGTTATAAGACAGTGACCATATTAACCGGATGATCATATTACCTTCACGTACTATAATTTATTTATTTAATTCTTCTTCTGGATTGTCTGGAAATGATCGCTATGTAGCAATAAGACCGTCTTTTGTTTTTCACTCATTATTTGTTTATTTTTGAAATATTTATTTTTCTTGGTGTACAATAACGAGTATTGTATTATAGATTAAAACTATATGTTGACTTTTGACAAGCAAATTAATTACCTCAGTCGATAATTGAGAGTCTTCATTTCATTTCATTTAAATTCAATTTAGCCGTGGTCTTGTAATGTGCTTTAAAATTTACGAAATAACCTTATAACAAATAAAAAATATTACAGTTGTCAAAACTGTAATACAATTAGCTTCTTGTTTCGAAATCTTTTCCTCAAGTAATTTTATGAAAAATACTAACTCAATTCTTATTGGCACTTCACTTCTATATCGGCTCCAAAGATGTCGAATAACTGCAGAACAACAATATGTTTGTATGGCAAATAGATCATACCCTTTGAATACAATGTAGCTAAATTTTACACCGTGTTATGTAACTATGTTCAATACAGGAACATAAAAAAATAACTTGTAAATTATTGCGCTAAAATGATAGTTTTTATAAGTAAGCTTTAGAGAGGGCTCGAGGTTTCTCTGCGTGATAAACTTAGAAATGAGGATACCCGCATTATAATCTGAGTAACCGACACAGTCCAACGGTTAGTAAGCTGAAGCGGCAATAGGCCAAACATATAGCTCGAGAACTATATAGTCCAAAGAACTGACAACAAATAGTGAAGAAAGGTTTTCGAGTGGCAGCCTCGTACCAGTATTCTGAGGCGAAGTGTGGGGCGTTCCCCCACTAGACGTAGAGAAAACCAGGTAAGACGTACCAGGTAGTTGATGGATGCAGATGGTTTAAGATCGTGTTTTGTGGCAATTCTTAGGGGAGGCCCATGTTCATCAGTGGACTTGTAAAGGGCTGTAATGATGATGGTGATGATTCCACTTGGCAATACATCAACGTTGTAGAAAGAATTTAAAATCTATTTCATTCGCTCAATACCGCTTTATAATGCCACAAAGTGGGCAAATAATTTTAAAAAATATATATTAGCTTTTCATTCGAATATTGAAACTTTGAGCCTGCTTGTTGTTTCCAGCCATTTAATTTTTTTTTAATTTTGTGTAAAATTTGTGTGGGTTGGTTTGAATGTTGATTATATATTTTTCAACAGTGCTAATAACAGTGTAATACATAAATTAAATTTACAAATGTTGCATTATTCAACTAACGTATTTAGCACGAGTTGTAATAGTATATAGAAGTTTTTTTATATATCTTTTAAATTTATTTATTTATTGTGCGCAACATATTGATAAAAAGACTTGAAAGGGCAGATTTTAATACTAAAAGACAAAAGGGAAAATCTTTATTCAGAATACAATACAGTTTTATTATTATTATATGAACATAAATGACTTACTTTATCTACTATATTTCAATTCTAATGTAAGTTAATTAATAAATTTTTGTACAGCCCACAGTGTGGATATTCATTGAGGATATACCGATGTAAAGTTAATCCAATAAAACATTAACTATAATATTTTAGTAGTATAAGGGTCAGCGCACACCAAGAGCAGAGCAGAGCAGAGCATTTTCTGAGAACACTAAAATATTAATTTAATGACTATTGACAGACAGTGCAAAATTATATACACGTCCAAACGTGATGCTCGACCATGCTCGAGCTTGCAGGTTGCATGGTCGAGCACGCGCGAGTGCGCTCGCACCGCCACCGCCTGCGCTCAGTATTGCCGCAGCGAAAAAACTATTTTCTTAATTATAACAAAAAAATGATTAAATAAAAAATTGTAACTATTACATACTGTTAATAAATAATTATTGATATTAATAAATAAAATACTGTTAATAAATAATAATTATATAAATTAAGAGTTTCTTTTTACTAACCTTAAACATGTGGTGAGTCGTTCCTCAACAGAAATGCTATGTCGATAGTTAGTATTTTGTTTTTAGATATGCAGGCTTAGCAAATTAACTAAAATTTGAAATTTTTCGTAGGTAAACTTATAATAGTCATAAAAATGAGCACCAAGTTTGGACGTGTATATAATTTTGCACTGTCTGTCAATAGTCATAAAATTAATAATTTATTGTTCTCAGAAAATGCTCTGACACAGCACGTTGCTGCCGCAGAAGAAACAATTGAGGAAATATCATTTTAAATTAAAAAAATTTAATGAAAGAGTTATATTGTTTATTTAGGAATGATAATGATGACGATATATAACTTTCAAAGAAATTCAAATAAATTTGTCGGTACTACGATACGCGCGCCACCTACTTTAATTTAATTGTACTATGCTTATAACCTTTAGCCCAAGTGGAAGCAATCAGTTGACAAAGTTTTATCGCAATCACATCAACGTTGTGGTAAGGCATAAAATACGAACAAGCAAACAATAATTTTTATATACGAGTATTAGAAGATTTATTTATTTATTTTATTTATTTATTTCCCACTATACAATTATCTCTACAGGTTTATCCCCTAATGCGATAATTTAGACAATCATTTTTACAAACTCCAACTACAACGTTGCAAGCTAATAATTTTCGAATATAAATATATACTTATTGCTATTTCAAACACCGTATCTATGTCACAGTAGGACCATAGCTAATTTCAAATAGAGCTCTTACTATGAACCCACCCAGAGTACAACAAAATATATCTATGTCTTCTGCTATACGGTTGAGGATACGAAGGGCGCACGTAAACGGCGCTTCAGTCACCAGCTTAGTGCGGCCGCGCGGCACATCTAGCAGCTGCGACGGCCGCCGCCACCACACGTGTCTGGAACACATATGCGCACTTGTTGCAATACGTCTGGATTGTGAATCTTTTCCCTTATCACCTTAAAGATATATGAAACAAGCGCTAAATTCCTTCTAACCTTTAGCTCATTGTCTCTCTATCATTGTTTACTCCATACATTTTTGATATAAATATCTAATAAACAAGATAACAACAAACAAAAAATAAATAAGATAACAACAATTCTACTTAAACCCCACGAGACTAAACGACGTCTTAAAATTGAGTAGCGTTTGAGTATTCTACCATGACGATGACAAACGAGCACACAGATCTCCTGATTGTAAGTGGATGAAGCGACATAGACAACTTATATCCTCCGTTAAGAATTAAAAAGCAGTTGCGTTGTCGCACATGTAGACTAAAATGAAATTCCTCGTTACTAATAAAAAGGGCCTAGGTTCTTTCACTCGCCGTACGAAACAGCAACATAAGCAGTTATTTTACGTTGGTATTCTATGAGAACGTGATCGTTTCAACATTAATTGGTAATGAGTCCAGCTCGCGCTCGGTTCGAGTTATCATAGTCGTATATTTTTTTATTAAAAAAAACGCTACTTTGACACTTGGACTTTCTTCAGTATCGTGGAGGTAGTTTTTATTCATAAATTGTACAATACAAACATCCAGACCCGGAACAATTATTTGTAATAAAAATAGTACTGTTAATTTTTTTTTCAACAGGATCCAGTTCAGAACCGGGCTGCGTTTCTCCTGCACCTAGATCTACGCAGTCATGCAATGAACAAGACTGCCCAACATGGGTGGCTGGAGCTTGGTCAGGGGTAAGTATTTTCAGTAGTTCTACAATCCCTTTAACAGTAATATTAATGCGGTAGATTATTTTTATCGATTCTACGATCCTGTTAACAACAATAATATAAATGAGGTACATTTTTTTAGCAATTATACGATCCTATTAACAACTTAATATAAATGCGGTATATTTTTTTTATCAATTCTACAATCCTAATAACAACAATAATATAAATGCGGTAAATTTATTATCTGGTGCTATTTATGATGAAATGAGTGAAAATTGAAAAATTTTTAAGAGTAAACTCAAATATTGTCAGAAAAATTCTGAGCAAATCAAAATGGATAGATTAGCTCAACAAAGAGCAAATAGGGACTTTAAAAATTTCTGGAAGTCGTCCAGTAAGTTGGACACTAAGCCTAGCCTTGCTACGAGCGTGGAAGGAAATAGTGAACCCCGTGACATCGCTAGTATGTTCATGGAACATTTTAAAGTACAATCTCCACTTAGGCCCTCAACACAGGTGAGTAGTGCCGAGACCGCTTGTGGGGGAGAGGAACCTCGTGTGCATATTTCTGCTAAACAGATACGCAGTATCATAAAATGTATGAGCCGAGGTAAGTCTCCAGGACACGACGGGCTCAGCATTGAACACCTGAAGCACGCTGGATTTCACCTGCCGCGAGTCCTGTCCATGTTTTACACTATGTGTATTAGTCACTCTTACTTACCTACAAATCTGATGAAGACAATAGTAGTTCCCATTGTGAAGAACAAGACGGGAGACATCTCTGACAAGGGTAACTATCGTCCTATTTCCTTAGCGACTATTATAGCAAAGGTGTTGGACGGTGTGCTTGATACCATCTTAAGTGACCACATTCGACTGCATGACACACAGTTCGGGTTTAGACCAGGACTATCAACTGAAAGTGCCATTTTAAGTCTGAAGCACACCGTTCGATATTACGTAGATTGTGGTATCCCGGTATATGCCTGTTTCCTTGATCTTTCCAGGGCATTTGATCTCGTCTCATATGACGTGCTCTGGAGGAAGGTAGAGGACAGGGGTGTACCGTCAGAGATATGTGGTCTGCTCAAATATTGGTACAGTAAATAAATAAATCATGTAAAATGGGACGATACTCTTAGTGAACCGTATACGTTGGAATGCGGAGTAAGGCGGGGTCTAACGTCTCCCAGATTATTCAACCTATACATAGATGCTCTCATAGGCGAGCTCAGCAGCAAGCGTGTCGGATGCAGTGTTGGTGGGGTTAGTATTAACAACATCAGCTATGCAGATGACATGGTGCTGCTGGGACCGTCGGTGAGGGCAGTAAGAGAGTTACTGAAGGTGTGTGAAGCATATTCTGAGTCGCATGGTTTGGCATATAATGTCAAAAAATGTGAGTACATTGTCTTTAGGGTCAGGGGCAAGCCTAGGACTGATGAACCTGACCTGTTCTTGAATGGGTCAAAAATTAAAAAGTGACGTCCTTTAAATATCTAGAGGTCATTTTCTTGCCAATGACCTGAAAGACAATATAGATATTGAGAGGGAACGCAGGGCTCTAGCGGTCAGGAGTAACATGCTGGCCCGTAGATTTGCTCGATGTACGGACCTAGTTAAAATTACCCTAATTAAGGCATACTGCCAGAGTCTGTATACGATCAATCTATGGATTAATTACACTAAAAGGTCGCTGGATGCCCTGCGTGTTCAATATAATAATGCTTTCAGAATGTTGTTGGGACTGCCTCGCTACTGTAGTGCGTCGGAGATGTTTGCGCAAGCTCCCACGGACGGCTTTCATGCGATAATACGTAAGAAAACTGCTTCGCTGCTTAGAAGGGTGAGAGACAGTCACAACAGCATTTTGAAAACAGTAACGGAGGACTATAATTCTCCGATTTTGAAAAAAGTTTATCCGTACTTTAATGTTTACTAACACTAGTTTATAAGTCAATTGTTACTAACATTACTATGGATTAATTTTGGTCCAAAATAAAGATTATTATTATTATTATTATTGTGGGGTATCTATATAGTTTTCTCATCTAGTTGGGTTCTATAAATATATAATTATAAATGAAAATGAAAAGATAAATATACATAAATATCAATAACATAAAATAAATATAAAAGTACATAAATAAATAAAAGCCCAACCAGATGGAGGCCCTCGGCAGGGGAGACCAAACGGCCGAGGGTTAGGGGGAAAGGGAAAGAAACCGGCGGACGATGCGGGCGGTTTCGAGGAGCACCGCCTTCTGCATTTGAGCCTGGAGCGGTCCGCCACGCAGTCCCAGCCGTCTCAGATGACCCGAGAGGCTGACTGGGATTAGCCCATTCGCAGAGACGACTACAGGAATAATTTCGGTCGGCAGACCACCCCACATGTCGGTCACCTCGTGAGCCAGGTCCAGATATTTTGTTTGCTTATCTGTTTCGGCTTTCACAAGGTTCTCGTCATACGGAACGGTAATGTCGACCAAAAATATCCTTGACTCTGCCCGGTCCATCAGCACAATATCAGGCTTATTCGCAAGAATAGTCCTGTCTGTGATGATGGCCCGGTCCCAATAGAGCCTGGCGCGATCATTTTCGAGCACGGCTTCCGGCAAGTACTTGTAATACGGCAATTTCCGATCCACGAGACCGTATTTCAGAGCGAGCTCCTGGTGTAGAATTCTGGCTACTAGGTTGTGCCTGTGCAAATACTCAGAGTTAGAAAGCGCTGAACAACCGGAGATAACATGCCTAAGTGACTCACCGGGATGGCGACAAGCTCGACAGATGTCGTTGGTGCCATCCTTTAGGATGTATCTCCTATAGTTGTTGGTCTTAATAACCTGATCCTGTATTGCACAGACAAAACCCTCGGTTTCCCCGAAGAGATCACCAAAGCGTAGCCAGTGGAGGGAGGCTACTGTGTTTACGAAAGGCTCATGTAGAGCCTTGTAGAACCTCCCGTGGCGCTCCTTCTCCTTCCATACGGTCTCCCGGTCGGAAATGCTCTGCACTGCCGGGTCTTGCCATTGCTCGTTGGCTAAGGATAGAGGGGTAAGTCCTTTATCACAAGAAATAACGTCCTTATAGAATGGATCATCCGATCTCGCCAGGAAGTAATCACGGAGGCTGCACACTTCGCGATTATGCATGGTGAGCGCGCTCAAGAAGCCACGACCACCATGCTTCCGCGGCAAGTACAGCCTCATTACCGACGATCTCGGATGATGCATCCTATGGGACGTCATGGTAGTGCGGACTTTTCTATCCAGGGCGTTAAGTTCAGTCTGGGTCCACCTGAGTATGCCAAAGGTATACATGAGGACAGGCATGACCCAACCGTTATATGCGTGTGTCTTATTCACCGCGGACAAAAGGCTGTTAAGCACTTTGGTCAAGCGTGCATAAAACACGTCGCAAACTGACTGTTTCATACCAGCCTCATCGATACCGATGTTCTGTGACATACCCAGGTATCGGTATGTTTCAGCCTCGGAAAGGGTCCTTAAGTTGACGGGCATAGACAAGTCTATGCTCTCAGAGTTAGCAACCCTTCCCCTTTCAACATGGAGGACCGCACACTTATCCGTCCCCAGCTCCATTCCAGTGGAACTGCTAAATTCACAAGTGATGTTTAGCAATTCCATAAGATGGGAGCGACTGGAGGCGAATAACTTGAGGTCATCCATATAGAAAAAGGTGGGTCACTTTTGTCCCTCCTTTCCGTAGCTGAAATCCCCTCCCGGAGCCCTCCAGTAAGGTACTGAGAGGGTTCAGAGAGAGGCAGAACCAGATTGGACTCAGACAATCGCCCTGGAAGATACCCCTTCTTATCCTTATGTGGTTCTCCGCAGCCAACATCCGCTCGCCCAGATGACAAAGGATCGTACTCCACTGCCCAATACACTGCTCGAGGAAGTCTCTAACTGTACAGTCTATCTTGTACAGCTCGAGGACTCTCTTTAGCCATGTATGGGGCACCGAGTCGAATGCCTTTCTGTAGTCTATCCAGGCGGCGGAGAAGTTCCGACGGTTGCGTTTCATCACTTTGCCAATGACCGCGTCAATGAGGAGTGGTTCTTTGGTTCCACGACCACCACCCCTACATCCATTTTGAGCGCGCGACATCACCTGATTTGAGTCCAGGTGAAAAGTGATTCTCGCACTCAAAATGGATGTAAGTGTCTTGTATATGGTCGGTAGACACGTGATGGGGCGGTATTTGCTCGGGTCTGTGGTACCCTGGTCTTTGGTCTGGAACCAAATGAGTGATCCCAGTAGTGAAGAGGCTTGGGAGCGACTTCTGGTTGAGAGCCTCTTGAAACTGTCGGGCGAGCACAGAGTGACACACCATGAACCCCTTCAGCCAGTAGTGATGCAGCCCGTCAAGCCCCGGACTTTCCCAGTTCGGGGCCCTACGGACCGCCTCAGCTACGTCATCCGGCGTTATGATGACGGGGTCCATCGGCATAATACCCGCACACTGACTCGCCACAACTTCCGTCCAAGGGCCCTCGCTGTGGTTTACGGACTCTGACCACAGGCCGCGCCAGAATTCTAGAGTGTTGGCCTGATTCGGTGCTGGACCCGTTCCACTTACCATTGGTCGCTCCAATGATTCATAGAGCCTCTTCTGATCACTCTGGAAGAGACGATTCTGGTTGAACCGTGTCGACCTCTCGGTTTATCGCAGAATCCGCTTTCCCCAAGCAGCGATTCTCTGCTTCAGATCATCTATGCGCTCCGTCAGTTTTTGCGTTATATCCGGCTGGGACAAACTGACATTTGTCCCAGCAAACGCCATCCTGACGGTGCGCACAATTCTTGGCCTGTTATTGCCTGATCTGAAGCATATCAGTCTGCCGATGAGAGCTCTAGCCTTTGCGATACGTTGCTCAATTCTTCTTCTCCATGCTGGGATAGCGCTACTATGGCCAGTAGCGCGTCCAGCCGTGGAAACCTTAGCGCCTATGATACGGCAGACTACCAGCGCGGCGCCAAAAAGAATTGAGTCC